TACTGTGCTCCCAGGCCTTCCCTCTTTTACTACATCTGCTATGAGTGCAATGCCCTTTTAACGACCCTGGCGAGGCCCTGACTCTCAGCTCTTTTCACAGTAAACGACACGTATCACTGCTCTCAACACCTTCAACACCTCCACCCCATCAGCGTGTTGTAATAACCCCCATTATGGCTTCAGTGGCTGGGCCATCCTCCCACACAAGACTCCTAATGGTTAGCTACGAGAGAGGCCCTAATAAGCCGTTAATGGCGGGCTAATAAATAGCCCGACAATGGCTGGGTGGGAGGAAAAGACAAGATAGAATGACAGCAGAGCATTAAACATAAAGGTGAGATGGCCGCTCTAAGTGTGAGTTAGTGGTTGGGGTGTAGAGGACGGGTGGGGTTCAAGGACGCCTCTGAGAGGGATGGAGATGGATGGTAGATGTTAGGCAGGTGAGGTTTTGAAACATTTTGCAATGTATGTAGAAGACGGTGTCATGAATTGTCCTGAAATAGAAAATGAACTTTTATTGTCACAGTGATGTAAGGATTTGGCTATAGGAAAGAAGAAATGTGCGCTCCTATGATCACAACAGACTTGCTATAATTACAAGATGCTGACATTCAGAGCTGATGAGGCACATCTGTTGTTTCTCCTCAGTTTTATTTAGTCTGTTCTCTATTAAGGTATAGTTCCCCCCCCCTTACTCACCCTTGTTCCAAACCAATATGACTGTAGAGAATAGAAGATGTTTGGCAGAATGCTCAAGCTGCTCTTTTCCATTGAGCACAGGTGATTTACTGTATAATGTCCATAAAATGTCCATAATGTATTTTTAATTATATTGTTATTATATTATTTCGAAATCATTTACCATTTTTTATTGTTTGAAAAAAAAAAAAAAGCAAAAAGAGCTCCTTGGAATATCTGCCTAAAATCTCATTTTGTGTTTTGCAGAAGAAATAAAATAAAAGGCATTTGAAGCAGAATGGGAGTGATTAAAGGTGCATTTAAATATGAATTTGTGTAAGGCAAACAATTTTTTCAAGCAGATTTCGCGACAGGTTCAACTTGGTCATGTAGATTCTCTGCATTGTTTTTTTGTAAGTTATATTTATGGGCTTTTATGCCTTTATTAGATAGGACAGTAGAGAGCAGACAGGAAAGCACTGGGTGGAAAGAGGGGAGTGGGATCGGCAAAGGAACTCGGGACGGGAATCAAATTCGGGTCGCCGCGAGCACAGTTGTGCTATATGTCGGTGCACTATAACCACGAGGCTGTCGGCGCCAACGACGCTTGGATTTAAAGTGACTTCTTTGTGAGCTGTACTTATACATCGCAACTCTATTGACAATGGACACAAAATTTTGCTAATGTGACCACACCTAAAGTGATAAAATGCAAATTTTTAACTGGACTGTTTCTTTAAGATTTTATCAATTGTGAGAAAAGGGCAAGAAAACTCATCACAGACCCCACTTATCCAGTTGACAGCTCTTTGCACTTCTGGCCTCTGGCTGGCGTTGCAGAGCACTAGGCACCAGAACATCAGGCGCACCACACCTAAAGTGATAAAATGCAAATTTTTAACTGGACTGTTTCTTTAAGATTTTATCAATTGTGAGAAAAGGGCAAGAAAACTCATCACAGACCCCACTTATCCAGTTGACAGCTCTTTGCACTTCTGGCCTCTGGCTGGGGTTGCAGAGCACTAGGCACCAGAACATCAGGCGCAAGAACAGTTTCCTCCAACGAGCCATCTCCATCTATAACTGTTAGCATAACCATAGTCTTTTTAACAACGCAGTGTTCTCTAGGGCATTATGCAGTGAAGATATTCATTATGTAAACATACATTTTCATTTACACTGTTGGAATACACTGCACTCAATTTGCACAAACCTGTACATAAGTGTTCTGTTTACTCTCTATATATGTTTATTCATGTAATATATGTTCCTGTATATATATATATATATATATATATACATAATATAAGCAAGCAATATAAGCAAGCTCATACAAATCCTAAGCCAGTGAAACACTGATTATGGTAATTCCATCATGATGTGAATGCAGTTACACACTTCATTGAGATGTTTATTTTTAATCCCGGAGTAAATGTTTACAGATACTCCTATACAGAAGAACTCGCATACAGTACATTCCCAGTGCACATATGTTACTCGTGTGCTGCATGTGGCGCATAACGCACAGGTCTTATACATAATGCAGTATGTTTGAAGTGATTTTACTGACAGGCTGATGTGCTTGTATGAGCGGGAGTGGATCTCAGTGGAGTGGATCTCCATGCATTCATAGAGCCGTTTTCCCAGTTCTGCCTCACAGTCTCCCTCTGGACCCCATTAATGAAGAGCCAAGATGCTGGTATGACATGCTCACCTGTGAAAAAATATGTGCACACACCTACAAACATGTATACATCACAAATGCATGCATTTATTCCAGGCGCTCACTAACCCACCTCATGGGGTCAGTCTCTGCATCTCTATAATCTGCTGGCTTGCGAAATTATAAAATGGCACAAAAAAACAAAACAAATGTGTGTATGATCACCGTATGTGCCCGATGAAGTGGAGAGAAATTAAAGAATAAGATTGTCATATTGTCGGCTTGATGATAACAAAGTGACAATATGGTGTTAGAATCCAGAGGCGATATTGTTGCAATTATTGGGGCTCCTTTCTTTTTATTTCTCCCCTCCCTCCATCGCCTTCCCACTCAATCTTCCTGGAGCTTTCATAGCCGGGGCTAATGCCTTCCTGATCCACTCCCCAATGCCTTTTCTGTCAGAGGAAGTCATTTAAGAGCACACACAAAAGTATTTGTCGAAGTGTCTGAAAATACCGCAGCCCTCTTCTCCGCGGCCCATTCTTCAGGCCTAATGCGGAACATCCCCTGGGTGATGGCTTTGGCAGCTGCAGAAATGGGAGAGCCACGCTGGAGATGAGGGTCATCGGCGGGTTACAGGAGAAAGTTTGTGCCCAGCAATGTTTGACTGTAGATTTGAGGGGAAACTTTACGGCCTCTGTGGGATTGGTGTAGATTGCGAGGCCACGGTTCACAGCTCCCTGGTGTCAAATGCACATTCACAAAGTCTTTCAGTTTTTATTATTTTATTTATTTGAGAAACGTGCCATCTTGGATTCCAGTGTTGTATGTTTCTTGTTGGAAATGTCCTCAAAGTAACCTTCGATATCTTTTACAATATCAGTCTCCAAAAATCTTCCAATCTTAATGAAAAAATTCAATTTTATGTTAGAAATTTTGAAGCAATTATATATAAATTATTGAAAACAGTTCTGCTTAATATTTTTGTTACATTTTAAATGTTTTTACAGTCACTTTTGATAAATTAATGTGTCCTTAAAAAAATAATTTCTTTGAAATAAAGAGTTTTTACTGTAACTTTTGAACAGTTTAATGAAACTTTGCATAGTAAAATTATTTATATTTACATTTAGTCATTTAGCAGATGCTTTTATCCAAAGCGACTTACAAATGAGGACACTGGAAGCAATCAAAATCAACAAAAGAGCAATGATATGCAAGTGCTATAACAAGTCTCAGTTAGCTTAATGCAGTACACGTAGCGAGGTTTTTTTTATTTTTTATTATTATATAATAAATAAAAATAAAACCGATAGAATAGAAAAAGAATAGAGCAAGCTAGTGTTAGAGGCCTTTTTTGCTTTTGTTAATTGTATAATAAATAAAAAGAAAACAAATAGATAGAATACAAAAAGATTAGAAAAGCTAGTGTTAGTTTTTTTTTAAGAAAACAAGCAGTAAATTAATAGAGTGCAAGTCTAAAAGGGACAAGTTTGAGATTTTTTTAAAGAATAGAATTACAATAGAGAGTGCTAGAGTTAGAAGGTCAAATAAAGATGGAAGAGACATGTTTTTAGCCGATCCTTGAAGATGGCTAAGGACTTAGCTGCTCAGATTGAGTTGGGCAGGTCATTCCACCAGGAGGGAACATTTAATTTAAAAGTCTTTGAAAGTGATTTTGTGCCTCTTTGGGATGGCACAATAAAGCGACGTTCATTTGCAGAACGCAAGCTTCTAGAGGGCACATAAGTCTGAAGTAATGAATTTAGGTAAATGGGTGCAGAGCCAGTGGTGGTTTTGTAGGCAAAAATTTATAATAAAAATAATACATTTTCTTCATAAATAAAAAAGCTTTACTTACTCCAACATTTTGAACAGTAGTGTGTATATATATATTGGTAACATTGAATTGTATTATGCTAGATTATTTACCAGTGACAGATCCTGTGAAATACTTTTAAATGTATGAAATGGACCAATAGAGAATTTATTGAAAGCTGTTTTGTCGCATAACTTTTCTGGACTCATGTTGATGTGCTTACATTTCAACCTTCTAAATCCCTAACCCAAAGAAACTGTCTGTGTGTAGAGTTCTGCAAATCTTTAAAAACAAAATAGCATTTGACTTGTACAAACCAAATATGTGCACAATTACTGTTTTATGCTGGTTTGGTGCCGTTTAAGGCGGTGGACTACCATGGCCATCCAAAATGTATCTGTTTACTCTTTCTGACAAGTGTAGTCATTCTTTAGCCGTTTGACTAAAGAAGTCTTGATGGGTAAACTAGTTCACATGTATTTACATTTAATCCTTTAGCAAGTGCTTTTATTCAAAGTAACTTTCAAGTGAGGACCATCGCAAACAATCATTCAAGAACCAACAATATTTGCAGTACCCGATGCCAAGAGTAAGCTAGAGTAGTAAAAATGAAGAAAATATTTGTAGCTAATTTATAGCTTTTGTTTATGGCTGTGGTTTATTTAAGTGCTCGCAGAAGAGTTGTGTCTTCAACTATTTCTTGAAGTTTGTGATGGTCTCAGCAGAACGGGTGGTTGAAAGCTCCACCACAGAGCCGCAACAAAAAATATGCTGTTCTTTCCAGCAAAGATGTCTGTCAACATTTTTCCATGACCGACTCTTTGTTGGTTCTGTCTACAGCTCCTCAGCATCCTCCCGAGAGAGGGCGAAGCTGCAGCCTTACCTCCCGTCAGCTCAGGTGCCTGACCCAGCTGACCAACACCTTACTGGAGCTGGAACAAACTGTGGAGGACCTGGCAACCCATCTGGGTTTCCTAAACTGCGCTGGAGAATCATTATGCAGTGGCAAAGGTACACTTTAACAACCATCACTAAAAATTTCACACACATATGCATACTAGAGTCAAATCTGTCAGATACAGGTCAGTGAGACATAAAAAGTCCAGTTTTAAGAGAAAATCCTGTCATCAGTTGAATCAGCCTCATGTTGTTCCAAACTTGAACAAATTCCTTTCGAAACATAAAGTGTAGTCCAGTGTTGATCTGAATATTACTGTTCAAATGTTTGGTATTGGTAAAATTGTATTTATTTATCTATTTTATATAGTTTTACAGCAAATAAGAGTAAATACATGCTTAATGTTACAACAGATTTATATATAAAATAAATGCAATTCTATCAAACTTGCTATTCATCTAAGATTGAAAAATAAAATGAAGTGTTCCATGCTAAGCAGCAGAACTGTTTTCAGCATTGATAATATGAAATGTGCTTTCAGCACCAAATCAGCTTATTAGAATGATTTCTCAAGGATCATGTGACACTGAAGACTGGAGTAATGCTGAAAATTCAGCTTTGCCATCATAGAAATAAATGTATTAAAATAGAAAATGTTTATTATTTTTATTACACATAAACATAGGTTTATGTGTAATAGGTTTTGTGTGTTTCACAAAAGAAAAGAAATCATTTAGGTTTGGAATGACATGAGGGTGAGTAAATGATGACAGAATTTATTTTTAGTGTTCTACAGTATCCCTTTAAAAACTATAGTTCTTAATCTCATAATCAACAAAACAACCATAGTAAGCAAATGTCCCCCTGAAGCAACTGTGAAAACATATACAGATCCAGATAAGTGGTTTATGTTGCTCTCAGACTGAATGTGATATATGCCAGTCAACAAGATATATGGTTGTTGTTTTTTTCTCCGATGAATATCAGCATAGTGTAAATAAATGGCAGCCGATCAAGATTTGTGACAACAGTCTGCTCCAAATCTGACATGTGAAATGATTTGTCACCGTGGGAGCGGAAAACCTCGAGCTATATTGTGCTCGACGGAGCCTTTAAATACGACAAGCCTCCAATTCCTGCCTATAATAGCGACATCTCTACAGGCAGCTTATGAGACCAGACTGGTGGCCTGTAGCGCTACCTTGTATACATATGCTTTTTTTAATGAGAGTTTTCTAGCCTTTCTTTACAGCTCTTTTACTGTTCTGTGTGTGTGTGTGTGTGTGTGTGTTTATTTTTTACATATAAAAACATGCTTCTACACACACAAATTGAGGAGGCAGGAAATTTCTTTTCATTTATTTTTTTCTGCTATGAAAGTGACTGGTGCGTATAGTAATTTCTGTAAAGGTTACATTAAAAAACAGGACAAGCAGAAAAGGACTGGATTTACTGAGAAGTAAACAGCCTTTAAAGGGCAGTTATCCAAATCATTAATTCAGCCAATCAAACGGCTTAATTACCAGAAATTCATCAGATGGGCTTAAAGGTCAAAAAGTGACATGCCGGCTGTTTCTCTCCTCCTTCGCCTGGCTCGACTCTCTCTCTTCTTCAACTAAATTGCCTCGCCCGGGGTCTCACTTCCAAAGCGTCTGATTAGAAAAATGCGGCCTTGATGCATGCACTTTTAATTTGCCCACAACAAGCACACACACACACGCACACTTATCCTCCCTATAACCCTTCCATGGATTAGCCCAGATATGGCCATAGCTATCAGGGGTTCAAATCAACTCCAAAGCCTCTGAATTTAACAAAGCTTACTGTTGCAATTACTGTGTCCGCTTTTTAGTTTTTTCCCCGTTTTATTGGGCGAAAAAACGTTGTTGTTTGTAGGTCGTCACAGCGCAGAGGAGTTTAATATGTTGGCGTAGCCTGACCCTGGCACCCCACATATTGACTTATTTTCCAAAGGCACCATGTAAAGCGTGAATGCATATGCTAATATGCTAACGGAACATATGAGATATTCCTGCGTGAAATGTTTTTAATGAGCTGGAAATTAGAGGATTTGGAGCACATTTCCTTTGGTAAAGCTGTAGTGACAGTTTACTGTAGATGCATTGTGTGTGTTTTTGCTTTTTCCATGCAGGGGTCCTGAAGAAGGTCAGGGATGATATGGAGGTGATGGCAGCAGAAGAAAAAGCCGCTACTGATCTTGTGCTGCAAAGCACAGAGGTGATACACATCCCTTATTTAATCACGAATGGTGAAAGTATTGTAAAACACATTTTTAATTTTCATTTAAAAGAACCCTTACATTTAATAAATGCAGACATTTATTAAATGTGTTTTTATTGCTGTCTTTATTGCTGTAACTCAGGGTTATGGATTTCAGTAAACCTCTAACCCTAAATATTGTGGAAAAAATACTAGTAACAAAAAAAGGAAAAGCCTCCCATTTCACCCTGGCAACACTATATCATTGGTGAATTTTGCATGAGCAAGAAGTGCTTAGATTTTCTGCTTGTAATAATACATTATAACCTTATAATATTGTATTCCCATATATTCCCATATGGCCAACAACAATACTTATGCTTGTGTGTTCAGGTGGTGTGCCTTGAGTTTGGTTGGAGGGCTGCATTCAGAGACCTTGTTCCTCAGATGGCTCACTGTGTGAAGGTGGTGCTGGATGACGTTTGCAATAAGAATCTGCAGCAGGAGGAAGCCACACATGCATTGTGCTCTGCCAACATCTTCATTACCCCTGTTACCCATAGTCATGGCCCAGAAAGAGACTCTCCCATGATGGTGGCCAAGGTAACATCAGTGGTTTATATATTAAATGAATAATCATATTTTCTTATATTTAAAAATGTAATCTTTGCTGAATAGAAGTATAATTTTCTTTCAAAAAGCGCATTACTGACCCCAATAAAAATAAATAAATAAAACAAATCAGTGTAGCAATGAAAATGTAATTAAATTAAATTATACCTAATAGTCAACTAATTTAATATGCTTATTAGAGTATGTTTATGTTTATTTTAAAGGGGTGGTAGACTGTATTTTTTCTAGGCTTGATTGTGTTTATGGGGTGCAGTCTAACATATGTTAATGCTTCGTTTAAAAAAAAAAAAAAACGCATTATTTTTCACATAATTTACCTTTACTCCGCTCTGTCCCTTCTCTGAGAAACGCTCTGATAATTTCCTGCTTTTATGAAGCCCCGCCCTCAGAAATAGGCGATGGGCTCTGATTGGTTAGCTAGCCCAGTGTGTTGTGATTGGCTAAAC